CATAAACTCACTCTTTGCTGACATCTGGGTGCTTGTGTTTTGCAGCCCAGATATTGCAATCCTCATCTAGTGGATGCATTTAAACTGTGCAGAGGTTCTTGGGCTTTTTGTTAAGGTAATGAATAAATGTAACATATCTGCACTGCATGCAAAGTTGAAAAACCAAAAGGTGCTGGCTGGGGAATTCTGGGAGTTGAAGTCCACACATCCTAAAGTTCCCAAGGTTGAGAAATGCCGCTCTTTCCCCTTCAGGGCTTGAGTGTTTAGACTGCCCACTCTTTTTAGAGCAAGTCTAGCCTTGTTTGCCCTTAGGGCTCTTCTGCCTTATTGTTCTTCTGGAATAGTGCAGAACTGGAGCCCAGTCATCAGCTGACAGGCTTAGGGAATGTGATGCGCTTACGCTCTCTCTCTGCCCCTTCAGCATGCAGCATGTTGTTCCGGCTGATCTCTGAGCCCAGCATCAGCTTGGAGATCAGGCGGGTTCAGAGGAAGAGCCCCACTTGAAAGAACCGGACTCTCCTGCTGCTGCAAACAGAATAGTTCCTCCCTCGAGAGAGAACTCTGACTTGATATGTTCGATGGTCTATTGGTTTGTTTTCTTGGCTGTCCACTCAGAAGTATTTCTGAGGATTTACTCCTAGGCGAGTGTAGAGTAGACTTCTCCAAATTAGCACCCTTTACGGGTCCCAGGGACTACAACTTCCACACTTTCCAGTGGCCAAAGACCACTGACTGGAACTGTAGTCCCAACACACTTAGAAAGCAACAGATTAGGACGTCTGATGTTATGCTTATAACTTTCGCACGTACACATGGCTGTAGAGAGAAAAACGATGGAAATAGGACTGCCCTTACCTGAAGTGCAGCGAGCACTTCTGAGCAATGTTGCTCTAAAAAGCTCCATAACTGGAAAAACTTTGGGCTAACTCGAAGGTACCTTGAGTGTTAATTTGCCACTTTTGCCTTCACCTAAGGAAGTCATGGCCCTAATATAAGATTTGGCGTCGTGCTTACGGGCGAATCTTGCCCTCGGGGTTGCAACAATCTTGCTAAACCGCTTCGTCTCCTTTTGGCTCAGTCCCCATCCTTGCTTGCTTGCTTGCTTGCTTGGGTCGAGCAGCCTTGCAATGCAGCCGCGTTTCCGGGGGAAGGCGTTCCTTGTAACGCGTTCCCCCAGGGTGCTCGCAGCGGCACGCGTGAAGCGATGCTTCCTGGACCGCGCTCAGCCGCCAGAGAAGAGCGGCTTCTGGCTCAGCCTTTCCCTGGGAAATGAGCCCCCTCGGCCTTTCCCTTGGCCAGCCGAGAGAGGGCCTCAATGGCGGCGGAGGCCGCGGCTGCCCCGGCCGCCTATCAGCCGGTCGTGCCTTCTCGCTCCGTTTGCGTCTACACGAGCTGCTATTGGTAAGAAAGCGGCGCAGCCCTTGTGGGGAGGACGGAGATGCCCCTATCATAAGACCCAGCGACCGCCGGCTTCGTTCCAGAGGGCTTTAATAGGGCAGCTGCTGTCACAATATCCAAAGTCTCTCCAGCCCTTAAAACAATCCGGAAGCATTTTCTTGAAAGACCGTTTGATTTACTATGTGCAGATAAATAGGTGCTGTACCGGCTTAGAATAATATATTACAATTAATCATGGTAATGTAAAACAAGGAGCCTATTTACTCAAGTTGATGTAACATCTTCAAAGCTACCCTTTGCTTTTCCTCCATTCGTGTTTGAATTCCTGTTTGTTTTCCTATTGGGATTTTTTTTTTTTTTTGGTATCGCTGGTAAAAAGGTGTGTGGTGGGTACGTGCCCTGGCAGAATTAGACCCTGATTCCAGGACATCTACGTCCACTTGTAAAATTGTGTAGAAGAGAGACTGAAGTGAATAAAAGGTGGGAATGCAGGATAATTGTGAAAAGATTTACGATCAGGAAGCATATTCAGAGTTAGGATTTTAGTACCAGAAGAGCATGGAAACTTGAAAATGTGTGAACTGATGTTTTTATTTTTCTACAGTGAAGAGAATATCTGGAAGCTCTGTGAACATATCCAAAGCAAGAATCAATACCCTTTAGAAGAATTTTATGCTGTTTTCATTTCCAATGACAGAAGGATGGTGAGTTGGGATGTGGAATAGAACCAGAAGCAAAACAAGCACCAAAACCAACCCGTCTTAAATGTCAGGATCAAAAGCTGATTCTAGTCTGTATGAAGCAGAAAAGCCTAATTTTTGCAGCCTTCAGATTCCCCCCTCCCCATCCTGCTGCTGACAATTCTAGCAGCATAATTATATTACCATTTTTTATGAATCAGAATTCAGTGAAAACACCTCCCCACAAAAAATCCCAGCTTGAATGTTTCAGACCCTCTCCTCCACAGTCCTTGAAACCAAATAAATGAGATATATCCATGTTTAATTAAAAAAAAACCTGCTGACTCATGGTTCAAACTTAGCATTGCAGTTATGATTGATGTAATCTTGGACATGTATGAATAGAGTTCTCATTGGGACTTACAATTAGGTAAGTTGATATATCGGTTTAGTTGGTAATATTTTGTCCATTGCTTTATTCATTTTCAAGGAAAAGTTGTAATTGATTAAATTTCTCTGTTACAGTCTGTTCTTAAATGATCAGAAGAAAGAGCAAGGCAATTTGTTTTTTAAATGACATGTTGAAATTAACAATTGCTAATGTTGCCTGTGCTAATTTCCTTTAATGACTTTGTGGTCCTGATGCAAGGTTTAGATTGACATCTATTTCTTTTCCAGTAGTACAATACAGCAACTACTTTTTTGAGAAGGGGATTTGCAGGTGCGTGAGTGCAGTTACATACATTTAGAATGACTAAGAAATTAAAGCAATACATCTTCCAAATCTGGCAGAAGGATGTGTGTAATGTACTGAAAATTAAAAAATATATATAGTTCTGTTGCAGTGAAAGGTAAAAGTAACATGAAGCCAAGATTTAATTTCCAAGAGGTCTTATGGGAATGTGCTTAAAGCTTATATTGTTCAAGTAAGTACTTTTTCAATCCAGCAATGGGAATAAAGCACATATGCCTCATCTATTTCTATTTTATCAGGCCCCCCCTACTAAACTGTAGCTTGTGTTTTCAAAATTACCAAAGTTTAAAAGTGGATTGTGGCTACAGTATAGGTAAATTATAACCTGTAATCCTGATTCAGAGGTAGTGATACAGTTCAGATATCATGCTTAACCAGCTCAACAGTGTAGCATGTCGTATGAACATACTAACTTAGTCAGTACTGGGGCTGGAGTGTCACAGTTCTAACCCAAAACTGTACCTGAACAATTTGAGTCAAACTACCTTTCCTGGTCAGCCATATTGTAAATATCAGCCATGTTGTAAATACTGGGTGATTTGTAAGCCCCATTCATTCAGTCCTCCAAGGAAAAGAGGTGGTGCTGTAGAACAGCCAAAAATATAATGTACTCTATTGCAAAACTCGCCATCAAGGCTTGGAAGTCACATGACACACTTCCCAAACAGACAAGTCTTGCTGGTTGCTGCTGACCTAGCCAATAGGGAAAGGGCCATTGATGTAGTCAATCTTGACAGTATTGTTTTGCCCCAGTGGCTCATGTGCTGGACTGTTGGTGTTTCCCCAGATGGAAGCCATTGACCCAGTTAGTGTGATTGGGTGCTGCTAGATCCAGTAACTATACCCAGTTAATAGTGGACTTAGCTAGATGCATTGTGTGAACATAATCTCATGTAGCAGAATAAATGGCTGGGGAAGGGCCAAGTGGAAATCTGGTTTGAAAGGCAATTCACAATTCTTACATTTACTATTTTATTCTTTGAACAATGCAATCTGCATATTTTACAAAGTAGAAGCAGACAGGGAGGAGTTGTAGGAGGAACAGTAGGGAAATGGATGCTGGGAATAATCAAGGAAAGGATGGGCATTTATTTCACTGTCATGTTTTTTGGAGGGAGGAAACTGTTGAGTTTATGATGCAACAAAAGTAATTTGTGTAGTAAGTGTTACAGCCACAAAAAATACCCTTGGGTATTTACATGGCATTTGTGAATTTGTAGAAAAAGTATTAGCTATCAGTTGGTGAGAGTCTTAGATGTTAAAATATTTTGTTTAAATGTAGACTATATTCTTTGTAACCTGCAGGTACCACTTTGGAAGCAACAGGCAGGATGTGCAGATCAGCCTGTGATTTGGGTAAGCAAATCTACATTTTCTTTGCACTGTTTCCCATTACCCCTGCCATGCAATTGTTGTTTTTTAAATGTAACTTTGACAACCAAATCAGTGAAATATACAAAATATGCTCAGTCCAGTGTAACCCAATGTGACTAAAATGTTTTCTCAGGCAGTATGGTGTAGTGGTTAAGTTGGTAGACCAGGAGTAGAGATATCAAGGTTCTAATCTATACTCAACCATAGAAGCTTCCTGGATGTCTTTGGGCTAATCACTCTGGCTCAGCACAACCTATATCACAAGGTGGTTGTTCGGGGAAAAATGGGAGGAAGGAGCACTGTGCACGCCATCTTGAAGTCCTGAATAAAAGGCAGGATATAAATCTAATGAACAACAACAATGTTCTCTGGATGAGTTGAATTTGAAGTTCCCATAATTTTCAGCTGATTTTATTTGGATGATCACATTGTAGCTTAATGTGCTGAGCTATGAATTAGCTTTTGAAGTAAGAGTTAATTCCACAAACCAGGTGCATGCAGTAAACTAGGAATCTGTGTTTCCTGGTTTGTTTGCATTATAGAAAATCACAATTAGAGCTTTGGAACCAGCCAGGCTGTGAAAACTTGTTTTGATGTTGACATAATATCCGTGGTTAATTCTGAAATGATTAACTCTAGTTTACTGGTTTGAATGAAACACACATTATTAACTTATTTTCTTGTGCAAATGGCCACATGCAGCCTCTTAAATCTCATACATATTTCATTTTATTAGCTGACATAGCTGAGATCCAGAGCTCTGTTGCACCAGGATATTGTCAACAAGCCCAAATAATGCATGCCAAGTTCTTCAGAATGATCCATTCTATGATTCAGATGGCTAGCATTCCTATGTACCAGAGCTAAGAAGGAACCTAGCCACTAAAAATGAATAAAATATTCATTATATATTATACAGTATATTGTTGAATTGGGTTTTACATGTAGAGTTTACCCTTTTTCCAGCTTCTCCTCTTTAATCATCACAGGTCCTCATACTCCATCTAAATATCTTTTCCTTTCAGGATTACCATGTTATTTTGTTACATGTGTCGAATGGAGACCAGAACTTTATCTATGATCTTGATACTGTCCTACCTTTTCCATGCCCTTTTGGCACTTACATTGAAGAGGCTTTCAAATCGGACAGCATTATTAATCCTGGATTTCGAAGGTGGGGATATAAATCACAAACATTCCCAGTGTAGTTTCAATAGTGGTAAGACTTGGGTGTGCCAAAATTGGCCTGTTATGTTACAGATATAATTTGAGCTTTGTAGAAGCTGTTATCAGATCAGCCTGGAGAAGAGGAAAACTCTCTATAACCATAAGAATAAATTTCAGGAGCACAGTTCTGTTAATTTAGTGCATGTGAAGTAATAAAACTTTGTTGCACTAGTACAACAAATGCAGCTGATGAAGTAATGCAGCTGATGAAGTAAATAGCACAAATACTTTGCACTGATTTTTATTCAAAGTCCAAATATCAAATGATGTAGTTCATATCTACTTCAAAATCAGTTGTCTTCAGTGGCATTCATTACCCTTGGTTGAAACCTTATCTCTAACCTAGAAGTAAGCCCCACTGAACTCTCTAGCTGGACTTATGCATTATATCAAGACCAGTGCTTACTTAATCATACTTGACTGCATTAACCACAACTAGCTGAGTTTATAAACTGTGACTTGTGAGTCAGAGTGGCTGGGTTGGCGCAACTGCTGAACCAAGCAAAATACTTCATAGCTTAGCAGGATTTGCAAATTCAGCAAATGAATGTCTTTCATATGTGTAGGATTCCATTGTACTTTATCCTTGGCTGAAGTTGACCAGCAACACATGTGCTTGTAAAATATTCCTATTTAATGTGGAATATTAACCATTCACAGTTAATTAACACAAGGTGAGTCTGATGCTGAACAGCAATTTAATATTTGATTTATTTATAGTCAAAAACACTTGCAGAAGACTCAGCCTGCTGCTTTCTGGGGAAGGCAACCCTGATCGCTTAAGTGTTTGTCTTCTTTAGAAAAGTGAGATTGGTTCGAGCTGATGTGTACCTGAAGACTTTCGCTTCTGACCGATCACACATGAAAGACACCAGCGGGAACTGGCTGAAATCTCCTCCCCCATATCCATGCATTGAAACTGCGGGTAAGTCACAAATTTTAATTTTCTACAACCAGACTAGATCTCTTGTTAACATTGACTGAGTTCAAGCATTCACTAAGCTGTGGTTTGTTTCTGTTGAATAAGCCTTAACTGGCTGAGTTTGTACAGTATAAAACAGTAAAAGGCTCCAAATTGAGCTTGACCCCTAGTGACTCATGGATGTGTCCAGGAATTGGTGCAGCAAATTTATTTATTTATCTATCTATCAAATTTATATGGCCACCCATCTCATAAGAAGTGACTCTGGGCAGTGTACAACAATTAAATAAAGCAATAAATATATAAAAACAATCATTATTAAAAAATGTGAAGTAGTCATTATGAAGATCCAGAAGGTCCCAAATTCAATTCTTAGAATCTGTTATAAAGACTTGCTTGAGTGGATCTTGATTCTTGGTGGCTACTTGAACACACCGATGTAGATTTCTTAGCAGCTTTATGGAAGTGAATGGCCACTGCCTTCTTCCAGGATCCTCAACTTCCCAGTCTAATCTATAGCTCTGGGATTTCTTTACATCCAAATATTAGCCAGTTTTGATCCTGCTTAAATTTTCAAAATCAGTTGGTCAGCTAGGTATTGCCAAGTAGTTGTTCAACATGCTGTGCCATAAACCATGGTTTAATAACCACAATAGTTGGAATTCATACCTAATGTGCTTTGCTTGGTTTTGGCATAGCTCGTTCCATGAATCTAGTCATTATGATTTGCTAACCATGGTTAATGGCTTAATAGGGTATGAACCCAACCTGTTAAAGCATAGCTTAGAATGGTGAGTAAACCACATAATTAGTTACATTCTGCTGCTACTGCTCAAAGAAGGAGTAGCTGTTGCATCTTCTTAGTCTAATTATTCTCAGTTTTGCAGTTTTTCAGCAACCCAGTTCTTTATCCAGTGCCTTCTTTACCCTTTGCCAGAGTTTAGATAATTTGGATCTATCCTGGGCTAATTTCTTACAAACTCTAAGCTCATCCCACTTCTGTCATGGTGGCTTAAAGCCAATGGCAATAAGAGTCTAGAACATCTGGAGGACACTAAGGGGTTTATTCCTTCATGGAGCAGTGTTTGTCTTGCCAGTACGTCTGGAAATGAGTCTCAGAAGAAAAAAACTGAAACTGGAAATAGTTGGGTATTGCGACAATTCAGGATTTTTTCTCTGCTCCCTCCAAAGAACTTAAATGACTTTCAATGCTTTCTTCTTTTTTCTTTTAAGATTTCAAGATGAATCTGGACGACTTTATTAGTATGAATCCAGATGCAGGCTGGGGTTTTGTGCTGAAACTCCCTGATTTTGTGCAAGAATTTGGCAATCAGAGCTATGAAGAAGGACAATGAAGAATGAAAATGCAGATATAGGTTTGACGTTTGCCATGCTATTTGTGTATTGCTACGTTTAAAGTTGGAATAACGTTGTGTTGTAGCAAATAAAAATGCACTTAGAAAATAAAACTTTACTTTTAATGCTTTTTTTGGAATATATGGCAAGAAATGCAAAGATCATGAGGAAGGTCAGGTCAGAGCTATTGTGGAATTCTTGATGTTACCAAGAGATTTGGGAAAGATCAGTTAGGGCTAATACAGTGGCCTGTCGCTAGATGTCAGTCTTTACTCCTAGTCTCTTAGTAAAACGTAGCTGTAAGAAATTGTTGGTTTCTTGGATATCTTTTTTTTTTTCTTCAGTGGATAGTTTAATGAGCCATGATGATCAACAAACCTCTTACAGATCAGTTGGTGACTTGTTTATGTATCAAGTGCCATCATATGATGTTACACATGATGGTGTTGCCACAAAAACCAACATGGTTGACTTATGACTTCAGCGATTTCACTCCCAAGTTCTCATGATATTTTGAGGTTCTTGCCTGACTCAAGTGAGCTCTCAGGTGTAGAACATCTCATGAGATTTGGGGCATTTTATACCCACATATATACTCATATATACTGTTGCTAGTCACTTCTGACTCTTTGTATCCTGATGGACATAATTTTAGTTGGTTGTTAGCTTAGAGTTTGGGTGGATCCCTCTGGTTGGCATGAGTTCTGCTCTTACAGAATGCCAGCTCAGCCTCCCCACCCATGATTTAATTGTACACATATCCTGGCATGTATAAATATCATGGCATGTAAAGGTACACATATCCTGGCATGTATAAATATCATGGCATGCTGAGACCTGGTTAGGCATGAGCAGGGGATCCTCTCGCTTGGAGAAGTGTCCATCTTAAATTTAAATAAATTCAACTATGGCATCAGTGAAGCCCCAGGATAGGGGAGGAGAAGTGTGACTATCGTGATCTAGGGAACTCTTATGGCTTTCAAGAGCACTGCATTGCAGAACTGGAGATAAGACCTTGTTTGTAAAACTGGGCTCTAGTGGTCAATTGGGATTGCTGCTACTATTCCAGACTCTCTGCTGCATAATGGCTTCCCTGCCACAGCCTCTGGTGGCTGGGATAGTGGTGGTGTTTCCTAGACTTAATGGTACTGGGAGCCTTCAACCTGCTTTCTCTGGTTCTGGAGTCAGAGGTTGCTTGGGAGTTCATGGCCACCATGGCAACCATGGACTTGACCAAGTCATTGAGGACCTAACGTGCAGGGAAGGTCATACATTGGGTCTGGTTTTGCCTTGGGGCAGTGGTGACATCTGAACATGGGAGAGATTAACATAGTCCTTTGTCACAGACATATCACTCTGTGATTGCTTTGGAGTTCCCCATTGCCATCCCTCACCAGAGGGTGGACCTATTCAGTCTGTCTGCTCCTGGCTCTTAACAGACCTAGTTGGGCTCCAGAGGGAATGTGGAGTTATTCTTGAGGCTCTGATACATAGTTTGACTGAGGCCTTGGTCACCACTTGGAATGAAAGAGTGATGTTGGTTTTTGGTCAGATTGCACCTATATGGCCTCTCCCTGCTCGTGGATCCCAGAGAGTCCCCTGGTTTTCCAAGGAACTTCAAGAGAGGAAACAGCAGAAGAGGTGCCTAGTGCACTACAGGAAGAAGATGGGTGTATCTGATCAATGTGAGTAAGAGCCTTTATGAAGCACTACCTTGTGGCTATAGGGGTGGCAAAACAATTATTTCTCTGCTCTTACCACATCTGCTGATTGCCAGTGAATGGCCTTCTTTAAATTAATCCTGTCTCTCCTGAGGAAAGGGGGATGGAAGAACACCTGAAGTCTACTGCAAGGAATATTGGAAGCATCTAAGAGATAAAATTGCATGGATCTACTCTGATGTGGACTCTAGTTGCACCAGTCTGGTGAAATTGATTGAAACACAGTCCTACCCAGTTATCTGGGAGCAGTTTAAGCCACTGATCCCAAGTCTCAATTACAGCTGATCACAAGCTGAAAATAGAAATCAGCAATGTGATGTGGCTGACAAAATGCAATTTTAGACTGCATTGATAGAATAGTTTCCATATTGTGGAAAGTAATATTTCCACAGTAATCTGTATTATTCAGACTCCACTTTAAGTCATGTGTGCACTACTGGGTACTGCAATCTAAGGAAGATTCAGGAAAAACTGGGACAGTTGCAGAGAAGGGCAACAAAGGTATCAGGGGACTGGAAAATCTTATGAGGATAGACTGAGTATGTTAGTCTTGGGAAAAGACAGTCAAGGGGGATTATGACAGATTAAGATAGGATGTTTATCTTCTCAGATTCTGGGCAAATGTTTTGGGGGAAAATCATAATGTAAGAGCAAATCAACAGTCGATCCAAGGACCAAGCCAGGCTATGAGCTCCCTTTGCTGGGTGTAAGGAAGCTGGATGGTCTTCTCTAGGGAATGCCTTAATCTGAACAGGAATTTAAACTTAGCCTAAGCAGCCCTTTCTAATTCTATGGTATAAGAGAGGGTCTGTTGCACTGTAAAAATATTCTTTAACATATCAACCTATTTACTCTAAACTTAGAATAATCTGTAGAGCGACATTCAATGTGACTCTTTTCTTGGATCAACGTGTTGCATGTTCCAGTCTTTTGGATTTCTTTTTATTGTTGTAGCTTCTACAACTTCCAAATAAAACTCAGAAGCAAATTCTTGTTGGGATCTTGGTGCTTGTTGTGCTTGGTTTTCTTCTTGCAAATGTTTTATTACCAAACTCAATAATATTGTCAGTGTTTTGACATTAGCTGGGTAATGAAACATCTCAGGAAGAAAACCAAGTTCTGCAAACACTAAGATCCCAACATTTCAACCTTGAGCTATACATTTTTAAAACCGCATTACTAGATTTATATTCTACCTTATTTTGTACACCTCAAGGCCACGTACAGAATGCTCCCAACTCCTATTTTCCCCGCAACATCAGCCTTGTGAGGTGGATGGCTGGCCTAAAGTCACCCACCCGGCTTTCATGCCTAAGGGAGGACTAGAACTTGTGGTCTCCTGGTTTCTAGTCCAACACCTTAGCCACTACTCTGAACTGGCTGCCAAGAATAATCTACTATTGAAATAAAATCTGTTCCCCTGTCCCCAAGGAGGCTTCATATCCAGACACAAGTGAAAGTTGACATATATATTCTTTTTGCAATATAGAATATTTCTTGTCCTCTCTGCCATCCCCCCATCTCCCAATTGCTTCACGATTGTCTAGACGCCTCCACAAACTAGTATGAATTCCAAATTCCATCACTGGGTTAAAAATAGTGGTTTTCTAAGTATAAGGCTTGTGGCAAAATAAAGATTGTCAGTTGTGATTCAGTCCCAGAAGACTGCTATTTTGGGGAAAGAAATATTTACAAGAAAAAGGGCTCGAGAAAGTTCTGAAATTTCAACAACAGGACCAAATGACTGATAATACGAGCTACAAAATGTATTCTATTGCATAATAAAGTTGTTGAGCTAGGCTGCAAATTTATTGTTTCTCTAGATAGATCCATAAAAGATGTATCATTTAATTGACGTTTTTCTCCCACAGTTTGTAAAAATTATCTTGTGGATGTGGTGGGAATTTTTTTAAAAAATTTCTTTACAAAACTGCATTTCCCTCTGTGCTCTGAGTGGAGATGACTCTTACATCAGTTTAAGTCTGAAAAATAAATCTGTCCACATTGTTACTATCTTAATTAATGCTTCTCAACCTTATCAACTTTAAGATGGGTGGACTTCAACTCCCAGAATTCTCCAGCCAGTATGCTGGCTGGGGAATTCTGGGAGTTGAAGTCCCCTCATCTTAAAGTTGCTGAGGTTGAGAAACACCGATCTTACTATTTCAAAACCTTCATATTGAAATGGGGCCTTTACAATGTTTTTTTAATTTCTGCTATTTTTGTTTCTGCTTCACTAAAATTGTAGCTGGTCATGTATGTTAAGGTTCTATCCCTGGTTTAGGGGTTTAGATTGTAGTTTTGAAAGTCTTCTAAACTGTTTTGAAGGGAGGTATATGAACTTTCTGCAAAACAAAAAATAAAAAACCCCAGGGAATTTAATCTATTGATTCAGCAAGAGTAACCTGCATCTCTGAGTTCAGAATTCTTTAGTTACTTATTCAAGATAAAATTTGATAGAAGAGAAGATAGTGTTCAGACACAGTGGAACCATTTATTTCATTGCCAGATAGGTGGGGTAGGATTCCCCCAGAACAAAATGCTTGTATTACATCCCATGTGGAATTTGCATCTGGATACTTTCAGCAGAAGAATAGGAGAAAGCAGTCATTCTGAATTTGTATTCATGTCTGTCTGTCTGTCTGTCTCTATCATTTAGTGTACCATAACAAAACAAAACAATGTCTCATATAAAACAGCAGCCTTGTCTAGCTAAAATTGGGTCCATATAACACGTATAGCAATGTTCAAGTGCTGCCTTAAATCAACTGCTTATATTAACACACGTTCCATGCTTGTGAATGGAATAAAATGATTAAATCAGGCTTTTCTGCCTCCCTTCCTTATATAATTCCCACAAATCTGTTCCTAGTGAGTGAGGAACCCTTTGGGAAAAGTGTGGGTCAGCTTTCCCCAACCTGGTTATCATGGACAATCGTTCCAGATACTTCCAGTCAGAAGCTATGGTGCAGCTACAGTGCAAGACCAGGGTAGGAATAGCTAGTGTTTTTTAATTTTTCTACAGTTGGGGAACAGATCCTACTCTCATAACTTATTTATTTAACAATGACATATTTATATTTAAGACCCAGCATGAGAGAAATGTAAGGTTTTTATGACTCATTGCAAGAATAACATACCCTGCCATTGGTATTCATAATCTTAGAATAGTCTTGCTCCAGCTGGTACTATTATCATGGGAGGTCTGACTCCTATCTTCCCCACTGGCCTAAGTTCACCAGTCTGGAGGACAGAAAAAAATGCCTCACAGAATGTTACAGAATTGATTAATTTTTTGATTTCAGACTTGTTGGGAATTGTTAACTATCTTGAATACACTTGCTTACGCGAAATCTTTACATCGCACCAACTCTAAAAGATTTGTTAGTTTTAAATACGACCTTACTAGCAAGTAATTACAGTTGTCATAATAAGCCATTGAAAACTGACTCACCCTTGGAACTTTTATTGCATAGATCCTGAAAGAAAGAGTGGCTAGAATAGCAATTTGTATTTAATGATCAGCATGAAGAGAACTCTACATGAAATGAGAAATGCTTGATTCAGCAGGATTCATTTCTTCTTTAAATAGTCACTTGCTTTCCCTTGCCTTAAACATTGTTGAGGTAAGATATCAAAAGGAACAGTTCTGGCATCTTGAAGGCTGCCAAATGTACAGGAACGAGTTTTCATAGGTAAATGGCAGCTTTACTGGATACACAACAGAATCAAGGATATGTGTGTGAATGTATTTAAACTAGCCTTCCCAAACTGGTAGATACCAATGTTTGTAAACTGCCTCATAGAATGCAGTTGTATTGGTGGATAAACTACGAAAGATAAAATAAATTGTATAAATATAATAAAATCAATCTTCCAGACTTGGACAACACGTCCAGATTCCCAGGCAGATGTCCAAGGTCTTGGGAGTTGTAGTTCATCCTATCTAGAGGCAACTAAACCAAGAAGGCTGATGTAGACACTCTGAATAATTCATCTGCATCTTCATTCCTGCAAAGCATAGAGACATGCTTGTGTGTTGCTACAAAAAACTGGAGAAAAGTAATGAATGCCATCCTTCTGACATTCTGAAACCAGGAGAAGCTTGTACCAGCTAAAGCAATGGAAATGCCAGCCTTCATAAATTTTAGAATATTTTATTCATAATTTCAGTGTCAAAAACAGTTTACAAAAAAAAAAAATTACAATCACTACTTGTACTAAGCAGTTGTCAAATAGTTGATCATGCAAGAAAAAAGAATGTGCAAAATTTATATAGGATTTTCAGTAGCCTGCTAATATGCTACACAAAAGGATTTTTAAAAATACACGATGAGGTTTGTTTTTTACCTTTATTACCCCTTTGTGCTAAACCAATTTTTAAAAAGCCTCTTAAACAAATATACATATATAGGCAGGTGTATATTATTAATGCTAATTAAATTCTAAAATGAAAACATTTGTGAAAATTTAAAAAAAAACACAGTAAAACGTTGATTTAATGGACCATTGGGGGAAGCATGCCTATTAAATCTTAATTTAACTCATTTGCATAATTATAAAATTGATTAAAAAAGCAGAATTTGCAGTGAAACCTCAATTTACTGGACAAATCCTGTATTAACCAAACAAAACAGATATTATTCTGTTCAATGGGAATTGAAATACAGTATTTGTGCATTGCATCCACAATGCTACCTAAACCAAGGTCCATTAAATTGTGGGTTTACTGTAATTCATTTTGGAACTGACTTCCTGACATTATGTACAGCAAAAAACTGTATTTTTTGTGAAGACTGTGACTGAGTTCAGGCTTTGTTCTAAGCTGTAGTTGGCTTAACCATGGTTTTTTGGCCAAGTCACAACTGACTGGCTTCACATATCATACTACGCTGTGAACTACAATTTACAACCCTCTCCTTCCATGGCTGGGTTCTTGCAACTAAGCTCAGAAATTAATCCAGTAAGTCATATTATAGCTTAGCCTAATGCCTGAAACTATATAGGAACAGAAAAGAAGATTGGCATAGGACAATCTTCTACACCAAATCTCTTCAAGAAAGCCATGCTATAAATCACATATTAGCATGGGCGGACCTTTTCAACAGAATAAGTCCTGTTCTATGGCAGTAGGACAAACAGTATCTCCTTTGCTTTTCAAACATTGTGGATCCTATAATATTCACTAAACTAGGTTCACTACATTAGTATGTAATACTGTGATAGGATCTAATCCAAGTGTTTCTCAACCTTGGCAATGTTAGGATGTGGGGACTTCAACTTCCAGAATTCCCCAGCCAGCCATGGTGGCTGGGGAATTCTGGTAGTTGAAATCCCCACATCCTAACATTGTCAAGGTTGAGAAACACTGATCTAACCAAACATTCCAGAAATGTCCTTTTAGCATCCTGGAATAGAAGGTTTCCTGCAGATTTTCCCAACTCCACCCACAATCCTCACCAGAGAAAGAGTTTTTAATCCCAGTCTGTCAAAAAAAAAAAACTAAGAAAATTTAAACATGAAGATGGAAGAAAAGGGGTAAAAAAAAAATTCAAAGTCTTTCTGGAATATCATCTGGTTCCTACCAATGCATACAAGTGAAGGAGACTACAAAATAAGATGTTAAGTAGCCATTCCAGTAGGCAGACATTAAGTTCAACATTGTAAGATTAAACATTACAAGACTTTCAGGTCCAACATATTTCTGGAACAAAGCTAGAATGTTGTAAGTAGATGCTTTTGGAGAAATTTGGGGAATGGTGCCCAAATCAATGATTCTACTTGTGGCACATTTCCACGCAAGAGAACAATGAGAGCATCTGCCACTGCCTTAATAGACGGTCTTAATAGCTATAATATGGCTCACTGATTTCTGGGCTAAGTTGTACTCACTTTATGTTATTTTGTAGCCTGGGTGGGGATGGCTTTGAGGTTTATTAAACATCTCCAAAGTTTTGGATTATGGAAATGGGAAAAAAAAATCTGGAATTGCAACAGTTGTAAGTCATCCAGTCTTTGCAAAGATGTAGAACCTAGTGCAAACACATTTTATCAGAGAAATGTTTGAATGCGCTTCCAGATTTTTTCTAGATTCCTCCTCCTCCTCCTCCTCCTCCTCATCATCATCTTCATCAAAATATTTTTATACCTCTTCTCACTGAAAAGATCCCAGAGTGGTTCATAACAATATAAAAAAAATAATTACAAGACCAAAAGACTCTATTCGAAAGATAATGAAGGAGTATTAATGGATATCTAACCCAAAAAAACAAAAAACCCAGAGCAGCTATTTTCTCTTTTCCTGCTGAACTGGATATTTTTATGGAAAGGAAAAAGACAACTAGCAATGAAAAAGTTTGAAGTGAATAGTAAAAAAAAAAAAAAAAAGTATTTTGCATTGTGTACATTATAGGCAGAACTCTAGAATGCCAAATCTTAAATACAAAGAACCAATCTTGTACGCAAAATAGATCGGACCCTTCAAAGTTATAAAAACATCATATTTACAGCAAGGCAGTGTTTCTGCTAACAATTTAGCAAACAAGAGGAACTGTTTTCACAAAGCATGGCAAGATGTTTATCAAGCTGCAGAGCTGCTAAAATGAAGCATCGACAGGTTCTGAGAAAACTGTCAACTCTATTCTCTCTTCTGTAGTGCATGAACAGGAGCCAAAGAAATCCTATCAAGATTTCGTAGATACTTTACTGTCTATTTCAGCAAAGGCAAACAGGATGTGTGTGTTTGCTATTAATTTGTAGAGAAAGTTAACTTGCTGGATGTCCTAATACACTGGTGCAAACTTGTGCAAAAATAAAGGTTTCATCAGATGGTCTTTCAAGGACGCCTACCTCAAGATCCAATCTACTGCAGGCAAAGAGTGAGAGAGACAACCAGACTATTCTGGAATATGCTTTTTGTCCCTGGAGTTGTCTGAACACGTATCAAAGATCTAGATTCACTTAAAAGTTATAAGGTTAATAATCCTATACAAGTGATGCAGATGAATATTAGCATTCAAACAACATAGATGCAACAATCAGCTTTTCTACAGCGTAAAATTCATGTTTTGTTAAATCAAAAAATTAAAAATTCAGACCCTATCAACCAAGTGTGTTCAGTAGCAGACAGTTTTCTAAAGACTGTGTAGACATAAGCAGGGCTTAATAGGGCCAGAAGCATAACAGATTTGCAGCCACGGTGGAATAATTTTTTTGAAAGTGAGTAATAGATTAAATAAAAATGGCTTCACACACACATACCCAGGCACATTTTAAAAGCCCTCTTTCCACAAGCATCTCCAGGAGCTTGCTGCTTTTACAAGAATAATAAAAGTAGTGTCATGTCACAAACTCTGCCCTTGTTGCATACCTGTACAAAAGGGGTGGGCCTTGTCTCATGAGATTGCAACACTGCTTTTGTCATTTTGCACCCCTTGCTCTGTCCTGCAGATGCTTCTGAACCTTTCTGGTTCTTTATAATTCTCATCTGTTTGTAATCGTCCAATCACCAAACCTTTTCCTTACATCTGATAATCCCTTATTCTCCCAAACAGTGCTGCTTTCTGAAAGAGCATATCTATTAACACATGAATTCCTTATCAATTTATGACAGGTAGTCCTCATTTAGCGACCACAATTGGAACCAGCAACTTGGTCGTTAAGTGAAGTGGTCACTAAGCAAAACCACAACTGCGCTTATGATTTTACTTCAGCTCTCCTTTGCTTTACAGATGTGCAAAGGTCACAAATGCGAGGATTGGTCATAAAGTTACTTTTTCATCACCATCGTAACTGCAAATGGTTGCTAAGCGAGGCAGTCACTAAACGAGGGTTACCTGTATTATCATTGTGCTTGTTTCTTTTAAGTCACCTTCTGAGAACTGCACTTTTGTGAGAATGCTGGTTCTTTAAGAAGAACCTTAATTCATTTTTTTCCACCAAACCACCGTTCCTAAGCTTCTCTGGGAAAAGAAAATTCTAGAGCACAGATATGCTCAAAGATTTTGCAAGAACCTCTAGTAAAACCCCTGTGCAGTACGTACCCATTAACAGTAGCAATCACTCCATAGCACTCCTGTGTGGCAGAATCAAGCTACCAGCTTGGTTTGCAGATGGAGCTGACAATAATGACTCCCAGGAACTATTCCAGGGTAGCATTAGTCAAACGCTATCGTAATGCCTACCTTCTTATCTCTGTTCATATGCCCTTATTCCAGTCTGACTTCCTATTTTCCTGGCTACATCAGCATCTCAAACCCTCAACCTTTGATACAAAGACCATACCCATGTGGGAATTTTTCCCACTGTAGTGGGGAAGAAGCCTCAAAGAGAAGCCTCAAAGCAAACTAAGGTAGCTTCTTGATGATCCAGACACTCTTTCTCGGCTATTGAGAAATCTGAATTTGAGACCAGAAATATCATTACTTGGATATGCCGTGTGCATGCATCTATAATAATTTTTTTTTTTAAAAATCAGGTACTTCATCTAAATTCATGATGCAAACCCAATGTTGCAAATTTGTTAGCAAATAGGAAGAAGGATTCTAGCAGACCCATCTTTTACCTGCAGGTATAACCCCTGGGTGTAACCCCTGTGGCATCATCAATTTCAACATCAAATGATATGAAAATTGCCAAACTGAGTTAATGAGATCACAGGCAACAGCCAAAATGCACTCTAGGGTAGGGCAAAAGCCCCAATGACCAGTAGACCCAGCATGCTGGCTGGGGAATTCTGGGAGTTGAAGTCTACACATCTTAAAGTTGCCAAGGTTGAGAAACACTGCGTAAATTCTTTGCTAACATCTAGTGGCCGCTTGTGCTTTGCAGCCCAGATACTGCAAATCCTCATCTACTGATGGATCTTCCACATTTAAGCTGTGCAGAGGTTCTTGGGCATTTTTGCTATGATAATGAGTAAATATAATATATCTGCACTGCTTGCAAAGTTGAAAACATGTTTTTAGTAAGAGCTCTTCTCAAGTAATTAACCAGCTGCCTATTTCACTCTTACAACATAGTCAGCCTTCAGTGGTTTCTGAGAACGATCAAGGGAAATTTCCAAATTTCCTAGAACTCGGCTACATTTAAATACCGCAAAAAAGACAGCCAGCTAAATTAAAATTTAAGTGTTAACAAAAAGCAGCACATGGAATGCTACTATCAACAGTTTTTTAAAACTTCTCTGTAGATGATACAGATGCTTTGTACAGCACCTTGCTTTATTTGTAAAGCTATTTCAGAGGTAGAAACTGGGATATTTTATGTGGATTCAGTTCATTTTTTTTAAGAATAAAGGGATATATCCTTGTAAATCTCTTTTTAAAAAAGTTTAGGTATAAATATCTTCTGCAAACAAATAAACAAGCAAAATCAGGAGTAGTCCCAAGTTTTAACTTAACTGTAGTGTTTCATTCCCCTGGCTTTGAAAATCCAGAAGACATTTCCAATGGTTGCAGGGTAAATCTTCTTCGAATTTCTTAAATTGAGCAAGAATTGTCCCCTAAAGCTTGCATGCCAATTCTCATCACGCTTAATATTTACAAAAACCTTGCTTTTTTACATATCAGTCTAATTAGAAGGCTATGTTCTCACAAGAGTCCAAGGCCATGGGATTATGGCTCCTTTTGCCTCCTAAATTTCTCTTGTCCTCTTGACTCAGGAACATCAAACTGTATTATTTACAGGCTATGATACAAATTGAGCCATCTTGCTCAGTAGTGTAAAGTGTCCCATCAGAATAATGCGATAGGTAGTGAAATTATTTGGAAATTCAGAATCTGAACAAGTTGATAAAGTCTTGTGGTGAAAGAGAAGTCAGGCAGCTCTCTGGGTTGTTAGCTGTACATGGGTGATCGGTGCCCTAGAAAACAAGAACATCAGGATCTTTAAAACTTATATCAAGTAGTTCATCACACCAGATGGACAAATGGCACCATAAAAGCTCATCAATCAAGCTAGTCAACTCATTCATCAATGTTATTAAGATATGCCAAGTTGGTTTAGATTCACATGCTTTTTGGCCTTTTAATAGAACATCTAGAATATGTATACTTGAAATCAGAAATGCCTTCAGACATCAGGGCGCTCATTAGTCTACGCACCATTACATGAAATTTAAAATTATTATTTTTTAAATGGATTGAAAATCCACAAGATTACTAAAATTAATGAATTATGTAGACAAACCAGAAACAAGAGTCCTGAGTATCAAACAAGGAGGAAAGGTTTGTGATATTAGCTTTAGCAGTAATGGGCAGAAGGAATAAACCCGAGGAACAAGAAAAAGAGCTGCAACCAAGACAATGGTCAGATAAAAGAAATCTGAGTCCGGGGCAGAAAGGTAATGTGAGAAAGCATCTCGGACGTGACCGTCCCTAGTTGTTATGAGGATAAAGGGAGGAAGGGGGGAAGCACATTCAGACTTGCAAGATTCTGTTACTATAACCTTATAATAAAAGTAGCATTAGCTTGCATGTCTTTGGTTTCCAGGCTTGATGTACCTTGGAGGGCAGACATTAGCCCATCTAGTGCCCATCTACAACCTCCAGAACTCCCACTGGATACATTTCCAGGGTTCTGTATGAAAAATGTTATCCTAGCTCATCTTCACCAAACCTTGTGCCCTCCCAGCGTGTTGAGTTATAACACTTGTCATTCCCCGCTGATGGGATTTATGGAAATTATAGTCCAACACATCCACAGGGTTTTGGTTTGGAAAAGGCTGCTCTGGTCCAAAGTAAACCATTCCCTGCCCTGAACTGTAAACTCTACAGTGGATTTCAGTGGAACAGGAGAGGTTGACACCTACCTTCCAAGAAAGGATATGACAGTGTCTACAAAGCTGCAAAGTATCTCCATATTGCTCTTTCCTTGGATAACATCTCACAAGCTTGAAGTACATCTTCTTCCAATCCAAATGCCCTTTATCTGACAATATTAGCCGCTTGCGTATCTAAAATGGGGAAGACACCACAAAACTAAAGAACTGCAAAGTACACGGAGATATATGGCTAATGTTATGAGTCACTCCACAAGAAGAGAACCCATCGAGAAGTAAGTATGAGAGAATGCATGCCACCTTAAAACAATAACATGTGAAGTGGCAAGTCTTAAAATTAAAAATAATATTGTAACAGGATGAGCAGAGAACAAGAAATAAGGCAAGAAGTAATAATTGTAAGCATCTAAAAGAATGCGACCCTTCCCAAAAAGTGGTGTGGGAATTAAAAAAAAATCCTTTATAAAGGGCATGAAGGAAATGGAGTATTTAAGAATAAACTGCATGCTGTTGTTGCTTTGCGATCAGTAATATGCCCTCAACAGGAGGTTGCAGAGGCAGGACAGTCTCCATGTGTGACAGACCACTCTGGTTGAATAACCTTCATGGTTATTCAAGAATGGATAGTGAATTAAAGAAGACTCTGCTTCATTTTCTGTATATTTCTTTGGTGCTTCTACAATTTCACTTTCCACTGCCTTATACCTGTCGGTCTGTGAAGTGGTAGTGGCAAAGCTTCTTCCAGAGGAGTCGGTCCTCACTGAGTACCTGAAGACTCGGAGTTACTTGCCCAAGGCTCACAATATCTCTCCCATCTGTCAGCCGTTGCATGATGTCTAATTGTAAACACAAGGGCAGGTCTGTGAAAGTCAATCCTTTAAAGTCAGGCTGGAGAAATGGAGAGAGAGAAAGAGGGTGACCACAGTGAAAGACACCAGTGCTTCTGTGCATCTTTTAAAGAACATTCACCTATTAAAGTGGCCTTCAAGTGGAGCTGAAGTCCTCGTGACTTCATGAGCAGATTCTTGATGTGATATTGAAATGGTCTGCCATTACTGTATGTCTTTTCCAGAATGTTTTTTTTTCAACTTCCCAGCCTAGCCTGCAGCCCTGGAATTCCTAAATGGTGCCCATTCAAGTAATAACCCCCACTAACCCTGCTTAGCCTTCTCAATCAACTAAGGTCAGTTACAGGGAGTCCTCACTTAATGACCCTAATTGAGATGGGAATTTCCATCGCTAAGCAAAGTGGACATTAGGTAAAACATCATGTGACTGCATTGCTTAGTGACAGTAGTTCTGGTAGTCCCGGTTGTAGTCGTTAGGCAAGGACTTCATGGTTCTCCTGCTCTGCCGCACTCACCTGCACTTCAACTCCCCCCACCTGCCTATCTCCCCCCGATCTCTGCCCTTTTGGCCACCTTGCACTCTGCTGCCTATCCCTGCCTCCCCTGTTTGCTGTCTTCCTCCTCCCACTGCTGAGGTGTGCCCAGCCAAGGCAGCTGCTGGCCCAAGGCCTCAGGGAAGCGTTGCACAGCCTCGCAAAGGGCCAGGCTGGGCACACCTCATCAGCAGCAGGAGGAAGAAGATGGCAAAGGTCAGCTGGGGACAGTGGGGGATGTGTGGCAGGGGTGGGCAGCAAAGTGCAGGGCAGCCAAAAGGGGAGAGATGGGAGGGAGATAGGTAGGTGGGAGGAGTTGAAGCGCATGCTGCAGTCGTAAATGCAGGTGGGGTGCCAAGTGCCTGAGTTTTGATCACGTGACTGTGGTGGCGCTGCAACAGCCGTAACTTCAAGGATTGGTTATAACTACCATTTGTTCAGCGCCACTGTAACTTTGAACGGTCACTGAATGAATGGTCATTAAATGAGGACTACCTGTAGTCACTGCCACTTAGCTGGGCATTGACCAACTTGCCAGTGAATTTTGTAAGATCTTCCTGATGAAAATTCTGGAGAATTTAAAAGCTGGCACATCTGCAGTTAGACTTAACTCTAGCTATTGATGTTGTTGCTCTTGTTGTTGAACCCATACATCTTTACGAAATGACCAAACAGCAGCACTTTGGACAGCTAGTCAAAAAGTCAGACTCCTTGCTCACCTTGGTGATCTGGATATTGTTCAGCTGCTGCTGCCAATGAAGAATCATCTCCATTCTGTGGACCCACATGTTTATGTTTCCAACCAGGACAGACTTGCCAACACTCTGGACCAAGGTGCAAAGTGACATGTACAGAGTCTGCAGCAATTCTTTTATCAATCTGATATTCTGTTGATCCTCAAGAACTTTATGGGAAAAATGAGAAAAAAAGGAGATTTAGATATAGGCAAGGAAAAAGTCACTTTCTTCTGGAGGACAACAGAGTAGATCAATTTTGCTTTTCATCCTTTTCCTCCAGGGTGGTGCAACGTGATGTGTGGGCATTTCCATCCCATGTTGCTTTCTATCCTTATACAGCAGTTTGAAATTGCTTTGCGATTATCCCACAAACCCCAAAATACTTAGAAATGTAGGGAACACCATGAGCCAACCAAGGGTTCATAAGAAAGTGGCGAAAAAGTAATCCAGTCAGCCTCCTGTATCATGTGCTAATACAGATCCCAAATCATAAAAATCCCCCTCACCCCACATTTTATAGTCATTTGCAAAGCGAAAAAAAAAATTGAGCAATTGCTATGAGGGGAAGTTTCCAGGCTGTAAAGATGCCATTCCCTTAAGATGTTTATCACATTTTACAGCATTGTCTTAGTAGGTTTTGATGTATGTGGGAGGGTTATGTATTTGTTGGAGGATGAGTTTTTTCCTCTTTTTTTTGTATGCCACCCAGAATCCCATTGTGAGTTGGGCGACTAAATAAACAACAAATAAATACATGTCAACTGAAAGTTGTGAAGATGACATTTTTGCAACAGGACACTCTTCCCAATAGATGTGATGTTGAATGTTGCTGTAGGGTCTGGAATGGGAAAGATACAGTATATTCCAAATAAAGCCTACAGGGACATCAAGGAGACTTTAACAAGTTGCTAAAGCTGTATTGCGGGGAGAGCGTCATTGTGTCTAGAGCCAGGAGGCGAGGTGAGGTAAGTGTTCTCACCAGTGGGAAAACGGTCTGTCCACAAGCTCTACGGAACTTCAGCACTGGAAATGGTCAAAGCAGCTTTGTCCTGCTTTCATCTAAACCAGTGCAGAACTATCATGAAGTCAACTCAGTTCTCCAAGCTAGCTAAACTCATAAGATTGGACAAATCAAAAGTTGCTACTGAATAGTTGCCCCGACCTCATTCAGTGATGCTTTATAGTGCCTTCTTTAATTTTTTTCAAAATCAACAGTTGGATTGATAACTGCTGGGAAATCTTTTGACACAAACATTGATTCTAATGCTTGTTACCCTTAAGTTCTCCTGCAATTGACTTGTGCTGCTGATCTTCACAAGACCTTAAGCAAAACTAATTTTTATTATTTGGGGCCTTTCTGCCTTGGGTGATAGGCCAAATCTTCAATTTCTACCTGACATCTCAAAACATGTCATCACTCAGAAGTGTGAGGCACATACATGATGGTATCACACTTGCAAAAGACAGGCTGCCATGACATTCACATAGGATTGTGAAGAACAAGACAATGCAATTCTACTCAGTCATGTCATTTTTCATCCCTCTCTAACTGGTGTCTTCCATATCCAATATGTTAGACTACTACTAGCTGTGCTGGTTATAGATGGTGGAGGCTGTAGGAGGATCGGATGACATGATGTTGGGGAGAATGGCTATTATATTGGATTCAGTAAGATTTAGTCCCATCTCCCACCCTAGCAAGAACTGGTCAAAAATCAGAGGCATGAACCCAACCGGATTTATTGCTAAGTTAACGTGCTAGGAATCAGCCTCTTTCTTGGAAAATCAGTCCCCACTTTTTCTATTTATATATACATATACCTTTCTGTACAACTTTCTCCAAGATATTCATAAAGTTTTTCTGGGCGATTCCACTCAGTGACGTCAGCTGAGACTTTGCAATCAGCTCCAACAACTGTGAATAAAAATAAGAAATTCAGCCTCTAGAGCAAAAAGACCCTTCTAATCTTGGTTTCCTTCTTATGTGACCCAGTGGAACAGTTTAGTTATGTGCTGCTTGACTTAAAAAAAAAAAAAAAAAGAGGATTGGGGCCAGGCAGAATTATGGGAAAAGGCAGATGCAAGAATTTAAGTAATCACAATCTATCTGTTTCTTCTGTTAAGTTTAGTTACTAAGCCAAGTCATTAAAACAGAGGACAAAGATAAACAGATGGTTGCCATTTAAGCTGTTTAGAAGCACACAGGAATGTATGTGATGGCAGTGAAAGAGAGCCAAAAGCCCCCCTCCTTTTCTTGTTATAGAAAATGTGCATATGCTTTTCACTTGTACTCTGTTGTCTCAACAAAGTGGTATTAATGCCTGACCAACTTCTGTCGATCATTCTGCCCAATTCTGAATGACAGCAGAAGACTCTCCTACATGGGACATTCTATTAATATCTTCCAGAGGCACATGACTGATATGAACTCAGGGAGATGGGAAAACAGTCACAGCTCATTGGCTAATCCAACCAATGCCAACTAATGAACTTGATCTCTGTGAATCACCAGGGATCTGACAAAAATAAAATCAAGTGCTTGCACACACAACTGCACTTTCAAAGCCCCATAGGAAATCACAGCCCTGTCCAAGGATGCTTCCTCTTATGCATTTCTACCCATTCATATCTTAATTGGGTACAGTCTAAATAAGACAAGAGCATGCACAACTCAAGGGCATGTTGGGAACCATGCTCCAAAGAGTGGGGGGAAAGCCCCCGTTTTGGGTGAAGGTGGAACAGAAGTTTTAAGGGGCAAAATAGTTGCTCTACGCCTCTGTCTTAGGTGTGGTTGTCTTAAGCTACCTATTTTGCCCTTTAAGACTCCTCCAAAACATCATCATCATCTTCATCTTCATCATCAACATCATCATCATTATTTCTTATCCCAGTAACTCTGGGGGCTACACTTTTGGCACAACTGTTCTCTAAAGACTACAACATATGCCCTACTCAGGACACTTAGACGTCCTCATCGTAAAAGCTAAGCAGAACTGAATTGGTTTAGGACTTGGATAGAAGACCACCAGGAACTACCAGGGCAGCAGGGAAGTTGAAAAAGCATTCCAGAAGGCAGAGAAAAACCACTTCTGCACTGTTGCCCCCCCTCCCCAAACTACTTGGAAATCTCTATGAAGTTGCAAGGAAACAAAGTCAACTTGAAGATGTCACTTTCTGTACTCCGAAAGAGTAAGAGAACTTCTAGTTCTTATTACTGCATAGAAGATCAGTGGACTTCAACGTCCAGAATTCTCCAGCCAACATGCTTCATGTTCATCTTCATTCACCTTCAAGTATGCTGGCAGGGGGAATTCTGGGAGTTGAAGTCCACACATCTTAAAGTTCCCAAGCTTGAGAAACACTGGTATAGAACATCTGAAGGACCACCTGCCCTTACTTGAACATGCCTTGATTTTAAGACATGCTATATTTTTTGTTAACTAAGGTAGCCAGAGTCACACAGATTCCCAGTTCTCTTGTTAAACATCCTAATTCCATTTTAAAGGGCACACATAATTCTTCTCTGATTTCCAACAGATGTCTCAAAAGTGGCAAAATCTTGCTATTAGAGTCCTTGGCTAAGTCCTGCCATGGACATATCAGAAGCTCAGATGGGATTTTTGGCTACAAATAATCACTCATTTCTCTCTTTGATTTTCTTGCTGCCTCGTATCCGATAAAATTATTTCATATAAAGCTAAAATACTCCAGAAGTAAAACTAGCTCAGCAATTTATGCAATATTTTATGTGATCTATTATGCTCATGAGACTTGGCTGATCTGATCAATTTATTTAGAACATCTTATTTTTATTTGAGCTACAGTGGTGTGAGGGAACATGTTCATTTTTTTCCCCTTTGCTACACCATCTGCCAGTCTGAATTACAGAAATTTGAACTTGAAACTATAACTCAATATCTAAGGCTGCAGGAAACACAGTGGTAGGAAAAAACACAGAGGTTCGGTTTTTTAATACTGCAACTTCAATATATTGAAATGTTAATGGTGAGAATTGTGGCTTAAACTAAATGTCAGGCATGCAAGTTACAGGTATCTTTTAACCTTACTTTTTTACGGTGCTTGATTTTTTCTGTTGCTCAATTTTTTTAATCCAATTGTTATTTTCTTTAGAATGGCAATTCTTTTTTTAAAGATTTTTTTTTAATGCTCTGTAAGTTGTTCAGATCTTTGATCTGTTTCAGGTAGAAAAAGTGGTTTCACAAACATTCATTCAGCAGAAGGCAAACTAGTAAACAACCCCCACTCCACCCCAGAGTCCAGGACAAGCCACAATGACATCATAATGGCCTTGCATGCATTGTGACATCATCCCCAAATGATATGAATGATGTAGGTGCATTCTCACTTGAAGAAGTGTCCATACCAAACTGTGATGACTTCCTCAAGTAAACGCTGCTATTGCATTCTTGCATCATGACATTTTATGCAAGGATGTAAGTTGCAGCATTTGTGTAACATTGTTATGCTACATGCCATCATTTACCCCCCACCCTTGGGCCTTCCCCATGGATAACCATGTTCACAAGTTTGCCTTCTAGTTACAGTGTTTTCTGACTGGCCAAACCTAGCTTAATAGCTAGATATACATGGGCAGTCCCCACTCTGGCAGCCATTCTGAGGGCACCCTGTCTTCTATAATTCCAAAAAATGATCAATTGCAAATTAGCACATTGAAAATGGAACTAACTTTGGATTTACAGATTCCCCCACTCCATCTTGGCTGTGTGAAGGAATTTGGAAGTGCTTGTTTCAAGATATATTAATCACAGCATGAAGTGCTGTTGAAACTACAGCATAGTAAATTTTGACCAAACCTGTACCTTGTGAGTCCTCCTCACATAAACAGTTGCAGTGAACAATTCTGATTTGAAAAACTGCCAATGGATTTGAAAAGCAGGTTGTGGGTAAACAATACCCTAAATTTTATGCCCTTCCTTTTTTTTCCTACCAATTCAGCTTAAAAACAAAGAAGTGAGTCAGTTCAAAAAAAAATCTGTAGCCCTTCCAACTGAATTGTCCTAAGTGAAAATGTAAGGTCCAATGTGATGTCCCAAAATATACCATGCCAGATCTCCAGGAAATGACTCAGGAAAAGGACAACCACATTTCCTGCCCTCAAGAAATTGGTTGCTCTTGTGCAATGAGCAATTAACTCAGGTTTATTTAAATACCAAAATAACACCCTCTCAGTACTTTGCATACAGACATACATTTTATACAGGTCTGGCTTGCACATCTACTAAATTAAATTGTGCTTTTTTTGGTCTTATCGTTATCATTGCAGTTTGTAAGCCATGGTTTCTAGCAATGGGTTGTGTGGACCTCACAGTTTCTGGTTAATTCAATAAATCATCATTAAACAAATCATGGCTTAGAACAGTTACAGACATGTCCCAAGAGAAAGAGTCAAGTCTGGCTGTCTTCCCAACCAGTTGATATTCTACATGCTGGGAATTATTTTGGTTGGTTGGAGGACAATTCAGAGAGAAGCCACTGCAGTTTGACTGTCACAACAGACCCAGAGCTTTTTGACCAATAAATGCGAAGCCACTGAGCCTTTGTCTGGAGTTCCTGATCTCACAACAGATAAATGGCTCCTGAACTATGACCAAAACACTGTATATCATCTCTTTGTTTGTCTGCAGCGAAGCACTTGACTTGCTGGTGCTGGCAATCTGCCAGCCACAACTTTCTCCTAGAAGTGAAAAGCTAAAGCAGTTGACAACAATGACTAAGCAGGACTACAGTTATGTGTAAACAGCTTTGACTTGCCAGCTGGCTTTTCTACAACATTAGATTCAGGGAGGGGGTGTTGGAACATGGGAGAGCATAACAAGAAGAGGCCAGAACTAAAATTGAGACTCAAGGTAGAGGGCAAACAGGTGTTGGTAGGGTTTAGGACCAGGAAATAATCTGGAAGAGAGACTTGCTGGAACCATAACAAATGATGATATACTTTTGTGATTAGATAAACCATATTACTAAACCCAGATGCTCATGAGCCTTCAATCTTAAACAGAAGTCACCGGTAGCTTTTGAGATTTCTCCCTATGAAAGGACTACATTAGCCTTCCCCAACCTCATGCCTTCCAAATTCATTAGGACTTCTTTTAGAATTCCCACCCAGGGTGGAAGTTATAACTCCAGCTAATCCAGGAGATTGGGCTAGATATTTTTTTTCTTAAAAATAAAATAAAGTCTCCTACTAATATTCTTGGGTTCTAAATTGATCACTGAAGATAGCATTTTCTGCTCCACAATGCTTGCAGTCAGGTGTGTTCCAAAGATCTTCACAAATGCAACCAATTCTTCCAAGGCTGCTTTTTGACCCTCTTCCATATCTACCTTCACCCAACATGCTTAACTTGATTACTAAATGAATCCTTTTTTTTTTTTTGGATCCACACAAAATATAATAGTGAACCATAAATTAAGCCAGGAGGTTGGGTTTGCAAAATACATTAGAAAAATAACAAATTGTGTTAACACCAAGCAAATTAGTACACTGTGTGAATGCAGCCATAACATCTTTAATTGATCTGCTTAAGCAAGCTGTATGATCCCTCCCAGGAGGTCTATCTGCCAAGCCCACTGTATATAAAGAGAGAGAGCGTGACAGACAGACAGACAGCACTGGTACCAAATGTCCATACACATTTTATGCCCGCCCTATCTTAAAGGCTATAGTTTATAGAGTCTTTGGTATATTTAATTTTATTTTACAGTACTCTAATCTGTGAATTTTCTGTGGGAAAAACAACAACAACATCTGAATGAACTGCTTCAATGGGTTAAACCAACCCTTGACACTCACCCGTACAACATAGTTGAACCTTCTGGAGTCCAGAATAGCATTAGAGAAGTCCAGCCTATTGAAAGCTTCTCCCAGGGTGCAATAGCCATGGCGCTAAGAGCGAGAGGATGAAACACATGAGTGATTTCTTTGTATTCATGATTCTCATTAGAACCAAGGTTGATGGTCTGGAACTAGATCTGTAGGACAATTTTTAGTCTCATGGATTTCAAGGCTGAGAGATAATCAGGATCTCCATTTTCACTGAAGCAAATACTAACAGGGGCTTTCCAATGCAGCAATGTGTAGGGGAAGAATGGAATCTTCTTTTCTTCTAGAGATCCTCTTGGCCTGAATCTGCTTATCACCAACCTGCATGGCACATCCTTTCTTTGCAGGGCTAAGAACTATAGTGGTGCAGACATGATGCTTTAATTTTATATTATATTGCATAATCAAATGCCCATAAAAGTAGTCCTGAGGCAAAGTGGACAAGTCCAAATTAAACAAATGGTCAGGACCAAGATTTTCCATTTGTTTCCTTGGGCTCAGGGGAGATAATTTTTTAAATGTGTTTGTTATGCCTATGATAGAGTTGACATGGTTCCCACCTCACCATTGCAGGAAACTTTGCCATCAGTTTTGAGCAGTCGTGATCTGGGGAGCTTTCACGATCACCAAAAGTTTATCCCATTCCCTTAGATGAAGTAGGTCTGCTCTTTCTCACTTTTAATTTGAATGAATACATCTAAAGCAATGTTTCTCAATCTCAGCAACTTTAAGAAGTAGGGACTTCAACTCCCAGAATTCCCCAGGCAGTTGGGGAATTGTGGGAGTTGAAGTCCTCACATCTTAAAGTTGCTGAGGATGAGAAACACTGGTTTAAAATGTTATACTGTATCATTCTACTGAATGAGAAGTTCATCCAGTAAAAAAACAGTATTTTTAGCAAAATATTCACATATTACAATATTGTCAAGGTAATTTATTCACCGTTTTAAGCTACTTTTGATGGAAGCAGTCACAGGTGGGATATTTTAGGCAAAACTGTACTGTTTAAAATAATAACAGATACTCACTTCTTTGGTACTTCCCTTGTGTACATAAATCCATTTTTCCTGATGAAAATCTGTTCAACCAAAAATACATTTTATTTAAAATCATGTAGACATTACTACTTTGTTTTCAGAAATTATGGTTAGCCCTTCAGTTACATCTTGACTTTTATGAACACTCCCCTCCCCCCCCCCCCCCCCCCCCC